CTCCTAATGAGTACACCTGCACCGGAATTGACGAGGCAAGCTTTCTTTTGTGCCAACAGGTAGTGCGACACCGTTCAATTGTCGTCCGCCTTTTCTGTGATTGGTTTTTGTCTACGTCTGTTCGCATCTTGCACACCGACGACGACAGAAACGCGGCCGTCAACCAGAGCACGCACATGCGTATTACGGGCCTGATAATTGGCAACTCCGTCATTTGCGAGCTGGTTGCAGTGCCTGACGCTAATTTACGCTGATGATGATGTGGATGATGCCGCGATTCTTGTTTTGTGACAGGAGGACACGAGCGTGAAGTTGTTCTGGGAAGGATCGTTCCTCATGGCCGTCGAATTCTATCTCGCGTTCCAGGTAAAAAGGCCTGACACTTTGTTTCTTTTTTGCTGCTCTTTTCTGGGTGCTCCTGCTATTCTGCCCGTCTTTCCAGACGACCCTCTCCCCCCACTCTTATTTTCAAACTCCCCCACCACCTAACTCTGTCCTCTCGAGGACGCGTGGTCAATGGTCTAACCGGTAAGGCATACAAGACATAAGAGTACGCCCCCCCCTCCCCACCCACCCAACTGAAACGTTTTACCCCGCCTCATTCCTACAAAGTACAAGTAAATGGTGCGCATGCACGCCTTTGAAGGGGAAGGGCCGCGCACTAGGAAAATGATAATTCACAATTCGATTTTCCGGGGTTGTTTGCTACAAAGAGACTCAGAAAAACTCTCGTCCAATCACTCAAATGCACTGCTGTTGTACTCGAAAGAGCTGAACCCGAAATTTCGAGTGGGCGCGACCTACTTTTGTCAGAACGGAAGGGAGGGATGATGATAGTAGGAGAAGGAGGCAGAGGAAGCGAAAGTAACCCGGCGTCAAGACGGCGGAGAGTGGCAGTCACCTTTGTCGGGGTAAAAGGGCCGGCGAATGGAAGTCCTCGAGGAAGTCCATGACGAGAGCACAAGAAAGTTGCACATAATGAAAGAGTTTGGTGGTATGTATCGAAATGCACTAGAGTAGACATACGCACAATATCTCTTTGCATGTTCCCACGAAACGACGGGGATGAGGCAGGCGTGACTGTCCCCCGTTGAGCACGGGGGAACGTCGAGAGCGACTTCGAGTACCGTTCATGTCTACACTATTTTAAGGGGCTAGAAGGAAGCACCGTCTAGAGGTGTCATGGTCATATTGTGGAAAGGATCGAGTGAGTAGCCCTGACACCCCGTTCTCATCCCGTCCCCCACTCGCCTCTCTGTATTTTCGCCGCTTCCCCCCCCCCCCCCCC